TTTCATTCGACGTGATCCAAGTTACTCCGGACGATCCCCAGACGGCTTTGCAGTATGTGGAGCAGGCTGCGGAACACCTCACCCTCCCAACATTTGACGAAGTGCTGCTGCACTATAGATCGTTCCCCGATGCTATACCCACGCTACTTGCTAATGCTGTCTTTGAAAGTGAGGTTAGTGATTCTGGACGAAGATAAGCATTCGGTATATATGTTGGAGTATTGACGATGGCGATTAGGGGCTTAGCGGTCGCACGGTTCGAAGACTACCCGCTCTATCGTTGATTCTTTATAGTAACGGTACCCGATGCGATATTCGGACAGCGATTGAGGCGCTGCGTATGGGAATAGCGTCGGAATGGCAGGCTAAGACGGAGGCGACGATGACTATGGCGGAAGAGCAGCTCTCGGGAACAACACAAGCCAATGGCCAATGAGAGCGATGGGATTGATGGGGGAGTGTGTGTGTGCTGGGGTCAGCGCGGAGGAACGGAACGGGGGGGTGAGGAGCTGGGAGGCTAATGACGAAGCGATGAAATTGTTGTTATGCGTATGAAATTGAAGCTCGGAATACATTCTCGTAGGACTTCTCCCATCATGTTATCGCGAGAACGAGGAGATGGTGTTGATGGTCAGCAATCATCAGGTGGCCGCCGAAAATTGTTGTTCCGAAAAGTCGCGGTTTTCACCGAAGGCAGTTAGGACCGGGGCGGTAGCCAATCAGAACGAGGGTTTAGGCAATTCCAAACCCAAGAGAAACTTGACCCGTTCGACCAACCTCGACTTCACCTCCAAAAGCACATTCTCCTGTGCGCTCAGCCTTGTCCCCTCCCCCTCCCCTCTCCCCTTCTTTGGCTATCGTGCCTTCTTAAATACCCCATTGTCCGGAGGGTCTTTCACATCGTCAGTATGCTGGCACGTACTGTTTTGCGCAGCGTGCCCTTCCGGGGCGTCGCACGCCAGTCCTTGAACAAGACCTCCACGGTACGAACTTCCCCGACATCGACCGTCCATTGAACCCAATGGACGAGGACAATCGCTTCTCTATCGCACAGGAAAGCTTCTGTATGGGTTTTTGACTAACGAATCACCCAGCGTGCGTCTTCCTCCGCCGCCGGTGCCGAATCCGCCAGCTCCCCCTTCCACCTCACACTCACTGCGTCCGCCGCAACCGCCGTCGCTCTCGGATCCGCCGCGTATCTCTATGGCCAGGAGGCTTTTGCCATGACACCTGCTGAGGAGGGGTGAGTGGATTATCGGTGATGCTCGAGGGAATGGTCAACGCGTTGCTGGCTGCTCCGTTGCTCCGACCGAGGCATCATCTTCCCGATTCCGACTGTTTGACATGAAGACTGACGCACATCGAATTCAAGATTGCACCCTACCGCTTACCCTTGGGAGCACGCCAAGTGGAACAAGACCTTCGATCACCAGGCGTGAGTCTTCCAATTGCGGGCGAATAACACCCTCGCCATCTCTCCCCGATACCGGCCATCTTACTCATGTTTTGCACTCCAGCCTCCGTCGTGGTTTCCAGGTTTACCGTGAAGTCTGTGCCAGCTGCCACTCCCTGACCCGTGTGCCTTGGCGCTCGTTCGTCGGTGTCATGCACACCGTCGATGAGATGAAGGCCATGGCCGAGGAGAACGAGTACGACACCGAGCCCAACGACCAGGGCGAGATCGAGAAGCGTCCCGGAAAGCTGTCCGACTACATCCCTGCTCCCTACAAGAACGAGGAGGCTGCTCGTGCTGCCAACGGTGGTGCCCTGCCCCCGGATCTCAGCTTGATCGTCAAGGGCCGTCACGGTGGCTGCAACTACATCTTCAGTCTGCTGACCGGTTACCCCGATGAGCCCCCGGCTGGTGCCACCGTCGGTGCTGGCATGAACTTCAACCCCTACTTCCCCGGTACCGGTATGTCACTATTTGCAGTTTACACCTGACAATTGATCCGCCTATGCTCAGTACTAATTCTAACGATATCTAGCCATTGCCATGGGCCGTGTTCTTTTCGATGGTGTTGTCGAGTACGAGGATGGCACCCCCGCCACTACCTCCCAGATGGCCAAGGACGTTGTCGAGTTCCTCAACTGGGCTGCCGAGCCTGAGATGGACGACCGCAAGAAGATGGGTGTAAAGGCTATCACCCTCCTGACCGGTCTCTTCGCCCTCAGCGTCTGGGTTAAGCGTTACAAGTGGTCCCCGATCAAGACGAGAAAGATTGTGTACAGCCCCCCCGTTTCCCGGCGCTGAATGTTGCAGCGGACTGTATGAATTGCACACCGTGGAGGAAAAATACAGGCGGCCAGTGAGCCTTGATATAATCCATCGTCCAACAAGTTATGTTGGTCCCACGTCGCCATTTCCTTCAACCTGTCACTCTATTCGATGGTCTCTGCATGTTTCGTTAGATGTTACTCAGGACACTTGTATCTGTACCCTAGATATTTATTCTCCGTTGAAAATGTTGCTTCAAGATCCAATGTCACAATTTCCTTTGTTAGCTATTACACATGTTGTATGGGCTTTGGTATACAATAGCCGTTCTGTCTTTCACTATGGGAAGGCTTAATAGAATGCCTCAATGTAATTATTTGGTTGTATCTGCATTATCAAAAACCAGTCTTTATATTATACAATCACCAGTGAGAATAACGTCATCACCTAAATACTTTTATCTAGATGAAACAAGAGATTGTTACCGCGCAGTACCATCATCAATTGTCCTTTCCCCATCCCCGAAGACACCCCGAAACACATTATCATACGACTGCCACATGGCAAAAAAGACAGCATCCGCCAATCTAACCAGCCAAGGGGGGCTGCGTCCATCAGAGCCCGCAGAAATCCTCTGCAAAAGCAAGACCAGAAGTACTGGCGTCATCCATACACCCGCAAACAGCACCTTGCCCACCTTCTGCCGCAGGGTAGTTATACGATAAGGCTGAATCCCAGCAAGATATGTCCTGTACGCAACGGGAAAGTCATGCTCAGCGGCGCCCATGCTGATCAGGTTGAGATAGCGAGCCGAAGGCTGGGCGTAGAATGGGTTCGGGCGGATGAGAGGGCTAAATCGCGAGACGAAACCGCATTGTTTCCGGCTCGTGAGAGCTTGGTCTTGTGTAGTAGCTTCCAGTAAGTCCTCGGCAACGGCAGGGGATAGAAGCGTGTGGGCTTTGAAGGGCTTCGTGCTTGGACGCTCAGGGAGAGGGTCTGTGGGGTTGTAGGCCTTCGGGAAGGGGTAGCAGTCGACGACTTTATCTTCGTATCCGCGTCCTCCGCCCTCTGTTGCGATTATCCGGGCGTAGTCTGTGAGGGTGACCTCGTAGACAACGCCAACGAGGGGCATGCTGGGGTTATAATCGGGGTCCTTATGGAGGAGACGCGAGGCCTCCTCCGTTGTAGCATTTCCGTCTAAAACATTGTCTTTTTCTTGGGCTGGAGATTTTCGAAGGCGTGTTGCTGCAAAACAGGGCTCAAGGTATGGTATGCCTGGGAGATCGAAGGTGAGCCATAGATCTGGAACGACGACGTTGATTTGAGAGAGGGGCTTGATGCCTCGCCTTCCCAGGAATGTCTCCGAGCATAGGTTCGAGCCGTAGGCAAGGTATAGAACGGTTTCGTCAGGTGGTGGGTTTCCGTCTCCGATCTCCTCGAAATGATGGGTAGTAACCTTATCCGCAAGGTCGGCGTCCTTCTCGAGAGACCGATCTGTTGTCGACACTTGCCGCCTCTCGGGGGTTGTTTCAGGCAGGAAATGGCCGGTATCCTGTTGGGAGGGATGTGTGTGACCGGTCAGAGGGCTGATTTCTCCGAGTCGCTCGTATGTTTCGATCATGCTCGAGCGGCGTGTGCGAGGGATGGAGTGGCCTCCTTCTTCGTCTCGATTGACTGCTGCCATCTTTCTAAATAAGTCAAGCTGGTTCAGTTGGTCAATAAATCTTGCCAAAATAGTTCCTGTCCGTTAGTCAACCAGGGTGACAAAGGTATGAGCAAATGTATATGTCCATTATAAATAGTGACTCCGTGCTTTGTACCACGGCTGTCATGCAGACACCACGGCTCCCAGCGGAAACGCATAACAAGCATTCCGGTCGTCTTCCCTAACTGGAGCGGAGCCGGAGTAGCCTCGGGACGGATACTCCAGCAGCCGGCTTACCAATATCCACTAATTCCAGGGAATTTCAATCCATTACCATCCAATATGTTCGACGGTGAACCTGAGAGCTTCCCAAAGACCCGGGGGGGATGTGATATTGATATACTTCCCAGTGGAAGTATTGTGCTTGCTAGCGCACTATCGCGCGATATCTAGCTAATCGAGTTAGGGACTGATTGGGGCCCTGCGGAAGCGAAGCGGAGCTTATGCTGGTTGTCCATCGTAGACTCCTTATCGTGAAATGCTTATTTTCACCCAACATTGTCCTGGAAAAGGAGGGCTTTCATTTTCCCTATCTAATAATAGCTGCTAGTTGTACGTAAATGATTCTGCTCAAGATTTGCGACGTAAAATTAATCGGTTCATTGTGGGATTTGACTTCGTCATTGTGAGCCAGAAGGCAAGGTGCGTACCACACATCGGAGCCTGCACATCATGGAATCAATTTTGCTGGCCTTGATGAATGTTAGCAGTCTCTAAATAGCACTTGTATCAGAAAGAATGCATGAAGCTAACTGTCTGTGGCGTATAAAATAAACACACGGATTGAGTGAGATATAGGTCACGTTCATGTATCTGGCTTTCGCTTGCTCGCTTATAATGGAGTAGATACTTCGAGTCAATGGCCCTCTTGACAAGCTTCGCTATTACTGGCAAAGTTTTGAATGCTGAGAACCAAATAGAGCAACTGGAGAATAAGCGTACTTAGAGACGACAATTGAATGAGGCCATTGCGGTCAAGTGCAAATACACTGTCATGTGATAAAACCTCTTACGGTCTTTATCAACTGCCACTTCAAGTCTATAACACTCTACAAATCTCGAATTCAAGAAGGCAAGATGGCTTCTTTGCTTGTTGATGCGTCTCAGGAAGAATCACAATGGGCTTGCATCTCAGAGCTAGCCTCGCAGTTGGCCTCTGTGATGAATATCGGAGGTGATAATAGTTTCCTTGTTTCGAAGCCTTATTATACATGTCTTCTGCGTGATCCTCAACGTTATACATTCTCGGACCAGCTGATCCAGGCCCTGCTACAACATGTGTCTAAGGTCGATAATTGCAAGATACACCAACTACTGTCCTTCCTGAAACGGCATTCAAAGCGAATACTTCAGGGGCTTGATCGCTCTTCGCTGCGTTGCCTGGCATACTTACTGCTCAATTCAGACGACGAGGAAACCAAATTGAAGAATGGAATCTATCTGCTGCTGGTCTGCTGATACTTCTACTTGCACGTCTTAGCTCTCTAATGCTTTCCATAGGATGAACCGCAATCCATGAAGGACTCGGGACATATGGTATACCAAGTAGCAAGCCCAAGGATTGGGGACAATTCCCGCTTGCTTCAAGAGAGAATACTGAGCAAACTATACTTAATATATTCCACCGAAGGGCAGGCTACTTGGCTACGGAAATTGGTGAGATGAAGACAATATGTGGTAATACCGATTCTCATGGTGAACAGGCCGGCAAAATGTTTCTGGAGATACTTTCGGAGCCAGAGCATAATCATGCTTCCCTCATTACATCCCAAGAGGTGGACATGTCACGGTATTATATGTTAATATGATGTGAGAGATATTGCTTGTGCTAACGCGAAGCGTTGACTAGACTCTCGTACATCATACTCAATGGCAATTGTGCCTTGAAACTGCTCGCAGCAATCATGATTCATGCGCTACATAACTTGGGAGTGAGCGACGAAATTCTCTGGCCGCCAGACAATAGCACGGATAGAGTCAGGTTCTTTGATACTATGCCGTCATATAAAGATGATCCGCTGCAGCACTTTCAAATCTTCTTCGATACGGTTGTCCTATCAGATGCGGCAATGCCATCGAAATCGATAGACTTAAGTACGACGTCCCAGCTTCGACGATGCTTTCTCCTTCACGCAGTAGGCATCGACACGACGCTCCTGCTTGAAGGAATCGTTCTCGCCATGATCGGTGATGGATGCTTGACGTTCGTGAGCTATCGACAGGACACAGCGAGAATGTGCCTAGAATACGTTGACGTCTACACTCAGAGCATTTGTCTACCAGTGCGCTCGGTTACGGACAAAACTAAGACATATCGTCTAATATTAGACCTTTCTCAGCATAGACTAATCGTGAAAAGCGGCAAACGCCTATGCTTCGGGGGCCAAACTTTGAGCATATTGTCCGATGAAGATCCTTGCGATTTGCAAATGACCATCGAGGAGTTCTGTCAGAATGACCGAACCTCTGTAGATACAGATAGTGTATTCCGGAGGTCTTCTTCAATGGTGGTGGAACTGGATACAGGCGATGAAGTCGCAAGGAAATCTTCTGGAATTCCATCCAACAATATACAGGGGCAGGAGGGACCCTGCACAGGTTTCGTTTCGATACAAAAGTCTCGGCAAGTGCTGGAGAAACACCCAGAAGTGCTCGAGGAAGGGAATACTAATAATGAGGACCTGGCACATGTTCTTTCAAAGCGTAACAGCTCTCAGGATTATCAGCGGGCACATTACACGGGTGAACCTCCCATGCCCACATCAAACCCACCAATGACCAGAGTACCGGAGAAACCAAACGGCAGATTTGCACCAAAACCAGATACTGAAAGAAGAAGGACAGGTCGCTTGCGGAGTGGGAATAGAGGAAAAAACCATCTATATAATACTCAAGAGTCTATGGTCATATATACGCGACATCCCAAACAGAAGGTATATACAGCCAGCTCCAAAGCTGCTGTTGACTGGGACGAGGATCTCCGACCTAGCGATAATGAAGCGAGACCACCTTTCAAAGATGCAGACATAACTTCAATTTCATCCCCCATGCCTGGTGAGACGTCTCTTACCGGCAGTCATTTGGCAATTCCTGGCAAAAAGAGAGCAGCCAAAGGAAGAAAACTAGCCACAAAGCGCAAGAATAAATCATCTCGTACTACAAAAAAGATCGGAAACATTACCAATACATCGACAGCAGCGTTACCACTTGCAGAAGATGCCGACAACCGCAACCGAAAGTCACAACACATACCAGGATCAGATGATGACATAAATAAGCTGATACTTTGTTCCAGCAACGGCAGCTCTGAAAGCATTGACGAGGAGAAAAATGGAGCAGGTGCCACGGCCAAATGTGCCGAGCTCTACCCAGATAATGACTTCGTTAGATATGACTCTGCTACACCACAACACGAAGAGAACCGCACTAGATCACCTCGAATTCAAGCCTGTAGGGAAAATGAAAGTTTTCTAAGCCACCAGCATCAGCTATCTACAAGTGAGATGGGTGATAACGACCATCAAATCAATTCTCCAGAGAGCCATCCGACCCCACAAGGACTCCAGGGCAGGGGCCGTGCAGTTGGGAACAAGCTATCTGCAGCTTTCCAGCAAGGAGACCCTTCATCAGACACCGGCGGACATAAAGAAAACAGCTCAGAGCATATACAGACCCAAAACAAGCCGAGAAACGAAAACGGACTCGTTTTGTCAGACATATTATATGCTTCCTTGGGAGAGAGCGGTGTACAGGAGAAGTTCGAGCTCACGGAGTCTATCGTAAAAAGATATGCCATCAATGATAAGTTGCCCTTAAGTGAACCAAAAGAGCAATTCACGGGCAGGTTTGAGGATGACATTTATGCAGAAGGTTCTGTCGTAAGGCACATGAGCAGGAGCAGTTCTTTCAATATCGACAACGAGGAGCAAAAAAGGGGGTCTCAGTCAGCTGGCTCCGCTGTATCAAGTCCATTGTGTGCAGAGGAGGATCGTGCCGATGCAGAAGTTCCCTCTGAAGTTTGCCCTGGAAGCCTCGGGGCCGCGCAGAATATTTGCAGTTCTGACATGCATGAGAACACATCTGAGGGCATAAGAAGCCCGCGGACTAGGCCAGAGAAGAGAAGGATAGCTGCGCTCAGTTCGGACGACATGCAAGATGACCCACCTACAAGGGACCAAGCCTCGGAAAATGCTTTCAAGGAAGAATCCAGGCGGCTGGTTCGCAAAGACCACTTGTATCCCACGAAGCGATTGAAAGTCACCCCCAGATCAACCTTCGTTGATTCTGATGGAAGCCCCCGCCTTCTGTACCGCACTAAAAGTGGATGCATCGTTGACAGGACCGACGTGGACGAAACATATCCACATATGTCAGGCACGAAATATAGGTCCTCCACCAGTGAGCACGTTCGGGAGATCCTGAGAGGTGGAGAATTTGGTGCACAAGATGACGATCTATCTGCTTCATGCGAGCGAAACGTAATTCTAGGATCAAAGCATTCCGGGGCCTGTACGAACAGAGAAAAGGAAGTACTGACTTTCCAGGATCGTCTAATGGCATGTGCAGGCAAACCAACATCAAGCAAGACCCCGCTTAGAAATCCCGCACGATCAAGTCCTGATGCACATTTAACATTGGGATGCGATAACAAGCCTCATGCGACATGCAACTCCCTACCTCGGGCGACATTAGTCCCAGACCAATTATCGGCGCAGCCAGGTTTGCCCAAGTCGGATAATATCGCAGATGGTGTCCTGGAGCACACCAGCTGGCAATCCTCCCTACAGGCGCTTCACAAAAGAGCGCAAGGCATGCTTCTTGCGACCAGCGAGGTAGGTGACATACCATGGGTATTCCAATTATTCTTACTGAGTTGGCCGCAAGCATATAATACAAGAGATTGAGAGCGAGAAAAAGACCATCAACGAAGTTTTGGAGATGTATCGGCGAGATTGTCACCGGGTGCTGGATCAGCTCTTCGAAGCCCAAGAAGAACGAATAAGACTGTGCCAGCAACAAATGAACTCCATTCGCGAACACCATACCGAAGTATGCCAGGAGTTGATGCAGCGTCTAGAGCGGGATGAGAAGCAGCTTCAGGATCGCATGCAGTTGAGAAAATGAACTGAAGCTTGGCCTCATCGTCTCATCATTTCAGCTTTTGATGCTCCGGCTTCAATGACGAGATTTCCGGTCCGGGCTGATTCGGATCCGGATAATATACACTTCAACTGAAGTTTGTCTCATCTTTGCTCGGGCGAAGGCTCTGTACTTATTTCTTACAGCCACGGCTAGTCGTATCTGCATGAATTCGTATTCTGCAACACTCAAGGGGCGAAATCCAGAACCAGAGAGAGATTAGTGCCAACGTAGCCTCCGTGCCAGGATGATCCGAAACTATATACAAAGTTTCCGCCCCCATTCCAGGTCGTAATGGCAGCTCCAGGGGCGTCAACTATTGCTAAGGCTGACTGACCATCCGACGCCGGACCATGCCCCGAGCATGTGGTACGGGATAGCGGATGACGGACTACGGAGTATCCATTCATGCTGCACCGAGCAGGAAGAGAAGGAATGAGAGACGAATGGCAAAGTAGGCCAATGGCAGGCGATACCGCGGGCGAGGCGCTTTTTTGGACCTCGCCCCATTCGTCCGCTCACCGTAAAATCACGTGGCGATTACCCAATGAGGCAGGAATGACTCGACACTGCCAAAGAAATAGTACTTTTTCTTTCTGGCTTTTGCTTTTTGAGAGACTCTGCAAGGAGACAATTCCAGTGATTCTTCTCTCATACATCTTTCCTATATATTCGTTGTGATTCCACCCGGTTGCAATCTCGAATTTCCAAGATATCAATCAAATCTACTACTATTCTATTAAACTCTCATCGATCCACTGAACCGATCTTCCCTTCTGACTTACTCATCCATACCTCCCGTCGGGCATACTATCTACCTATCTAAGCTGCGACTTTATCGCCTCTCCTTCTCTCATCTGCCCCTCCGTCTGTCTACTTGCTACCCCGCCGCACCACCATGTCGGTACGTTTTTGCTTTTTCCAGCATTTCAACCTTCTCAATGGCGATATTAATACTCATGCTACCTCCAGTTCTTCATTGAAAACCCTAATGTCGGGGACAGATGCTCCCTCGAGGATTCCAGAAGTAAGTGCGCCCGTGACTCACCTCTTGCAAATTTCCGTCCCTCGTTAACCCTCGGTCTCTCTGTTCCTCTACAGTTCGTGGATACAACCCTCTCACACCCCCCAACCTCCTTCAACATGAAATCGCCATGACGGAGAAGTCCCGGCAAACGGTCATGGAAGGTCGTGAGGAGGCTATTGCTGTCGTCCAAGGAACAGACACCGACCGTCGCCGTTTGCTGGTTGTCATCGGCCCTTGCTCCATCCACGACCCCGAAATGGCCCTCGAATACTGCGATCGCCTCATGAAGATGAAGGAGAAGTACAAGGATGAGCTGCTGATTGTCATGCGCTCCTACCTTGAGAAGCCCCGTACCACCGTCGGCTGGAAGGGTCTCATCAACGACCCCGACATTGACAACAGCTTCAAGATCAACAAGGGCCTGCGCACCTCCCGTCAACTCTTCGTCGACTTGACCAACAAGGGTATGCCCATCGCCAGTGAGATGTTGGATACCATCTCCCCCCAGTTCCTGGCCGACTGCCTCTCCGTCGGCGCCGTTGGTGCTCGCACCACCGAGTCCCAGGTCCACCGTGAGCTGGCTTCGGGTTTGTCCTTCCCCGTTGGTTTCAAGAACGGCACCGACGGCTCCTTGGACGTCGCTGTCGATGCTATCGGCTCCGTCAAGCACCCCCACCACTTCCTGTCCGTCACCAAGCCCGGTGTCGCTGCGATCGTCGGCACTGTGGGCAACCCCGACTGCTTCGTCATTCTCCGTGGTGGCAAGAAGGGCCCCAACTTCGATGCTCAGAGCATCGCCGAGGCCAAGGCCAAGCTGACCGCCAAGGGCATGCCTCCCCGCCTTATGGTCGACTGCAGCCACGGCAACTCTCAGAAGGACCACAAGAACCAGCCTAAGGTGGCTGCTGTTCTGGCCGAGCAGATTGCTGCTGGAGAGACCGCCATCATGGGTGTCATGATTGAGAGCAACATCAACGAGGGTACGCTCCACCCCCAATCCCTACACTTTGTACATTACCATCCAACTAACATCACCACAACAGGTAACCAGAAGGTCCCTCCCGAGGGCAAGGCCGGCCTCAAGTACGGTGTCAGTATCACCGACGCCTGCATCCACTGGGAAGACACGGAACTTGTTCTGGAGAACCTGGCACAGGCTGTGCGCACCCGCCGGGAGAAGCTTGCTGTCAATGGCAACGGCAACTCCCAATAAATCAGTCAACAGTTGGAACATGTCTTTTTCCTTCTCTTTCCTCTTTCTGCATTGCTCTTAAAACTTGTTCCTATATGGGATTCAACACATTATGCTCAGCCATACCATTATTGTTCTCTCGACGCATGGGTTGATTAAACGGATCGGATTTTCTTCTTCTAGCGGTTGTTGATTCATTTGTTTATGCCTTTTCTTGGATGAGATGAAAAAAAAAGTGATGTCTATTCCATGTTCTATTCTACTTCTTTCGGATTGTAGTACACGATTTCCTTTAAAAGACTTCGGTGAAAGTCCGTGGCTCATATGTTATGTACGGATAGTATTGTGGGACTTCATATACCATAGGACAGATATTAGGCTTATGTCATTGGGTTACCTGAGGATAATTTGACAAAAGGTCTTGAGCATTGAAAATATTCATGGCCCCTGGCCTGCGTGCCTTAGTGATATATACAATGTGATGACGGTTATAGAATACATAAGGTGAGAGGATCGTATCAGCTTGCGAGAGCATTAAGTGACCAATTTAATTGACTTGTACAGTATACCCGAAACCCCATCAATTGAGACCTCGCTGATGATGATCAGGTTTGGACATGTTCCCATAGTGAATCGCGTCCCCTCGCGGTATGGAGAGTGTCTGGGTTACCCCAAATGAACTTACCTGCTCACACAAGCTTCAGAGGTAGAACCCTGGACATGACAACCTACCTGGATGGAAAGTCGCTTGTTGATAGAAGATGCTCGGGCCTGTCCATCATACCACAGCTGTTCAGTTCATCAGGAGTGTTTAGCTGAATGTATTGGGTGGTTGCGCCAAGACAAGAACTGAGCGTCGACCGATTTAGGTTGTACTCTCGAACCATATCGCATCTCTTTTGTTTTCTGTGTCTGATTTGCTGATGGATTGCGCTGTTTCAGGGATCTTGCTTTCCCCTGTTTTGTTGTTGAGGGTAAGATGCAGTGATGTAGATGGTATGCTCGGGAGAGATAGTGACTACTCTATGGAGGCCAGCTAAGATTTTGCGCAATGATGTCACGGGACTATACCTACTCTCTATACTCGACTCACTGGTGTCACTTTGTAGAAAGAAATAGCCGGGTATAATTCTTATGAGAAAAAAGACGCAGGAAACTGGTGCTGTCACATAGCCAGGCCCATGGGGAGCTTTTTTTCGTGATACGGAAGTTTGCATGGATCAGAAAGGCCCCGGGCTACGAGGTTCATTAATAGCAAATATCGACAAGAGCATCGGGAATCTTCCCTAAAGTACATAAATTGATAGTACATGCAAGCTATATTGGCATCAATGCATCGAATGAAACCTCCTATAGGAAGGCTTCTGGTATCACTAAACGAGAGATAAGGAAACCGTTATGAACAAAGATGAGTGACATCTAAATCTGATCGCGTGGAAATCGCAGCGCGTAGAATTGACCGTCTCATACCGAGGGTGTGAGACCATCAGGCGTATATGGCCATCTATGACATCAAAGGCATAGCATCGTAGATCATGGCGGGGGAAAGCAACTCATACAACGAGGGGGTGATTAGAAAGTAATACATATATGTAGACAGTGATGGTGATTGAACGACTGTGATATTATGAAATCAGTCATCTTCGACGCTAATTATGCAGTCTCAGACGGACTCATCGGCCGCGTTGTTTTCGGAATTGCGGTGCTCCAGTTCTTCCTGGAGTTCCGGAACCATCGTACGTCCCGGAAGCCATGCATCGTGGAGAGGCAGGATCAGGCTTGGGTTGACATACTTCCTCAGCCGCAATCCGAGTTCTTGTCCACCGATGCGGATCGGAAAAGAATCGCGGTCGAGGCCGGATGGAGGAGAGAAGGTCGAGGACGGGGACGGGGAGATGTCCCCCCCACCAGGCCGCTCGCGGTCAATGCTCTTTAGAGCGATGAACTTCATAAGAGGTTCGTAGGTCCGTGCAAAGAAGTAGCTGAACCATACGGTTGCCATCAGGAGAGGCACAATAAGCAAAGAGCGCGTAATAGCCCGGCGTAAGGCAAGCACGCCGATCATGGCGAGCTGGAAAACCATCAAGCCCATCAGAATTCGACTGCAGATCATCGGCCATGCGCGTCCCGTCGAATGCTGCTGATGATCCATCGCGTACAGAAGCTGGTACTTATAAATAAACTTGCCGATGGTGAAATAAATCAACCCGAATAGGCATATCAACCATGAGCTAGGGAACACGCTGTATACCACACAGATGATAAGGCTCAGAACCGTCTGCGGAATGGAATACCCGTAACTGAATGTAGGGGGTGTGGATAGCTCAGCATAATCCCGAGGTGTCTTAGCGGCCAGAAAGTTGATGGGATACATGGCAACACTTCCGAACTCTAGGAGGCGGAACGGGAACAATCCTATTCCTTGAAGACATAGGAAGTTAATGTAAAATGGAGCAAAGTTTTCCAGAGTCTTGGCCAAGGCAAAGGCTATGGTCGTAGCATCTTTGAAGGCGTCTCGCAGATTCTCCCAGAACCCGTAAAATGTAGTCGCAGTTCCGAACACCGTGAAGACAAGGAAGAGGTTGAAGAAAGAGAAGAAGAAGGTCTTCGATATGACTGACAGCTCAATGTCACCTCGGGACATCATGCCTTGCTGGTTCGAGAGCCCTGTGATCAGATTAGCGCTGAGATTAGACTTGAACAAAACGGTGGGGTATATCATACAGTTATACAAGTAAGGCACAGCGACAGTCAACAGCGAGAGGACCAAGGTTGGCAGACCAGTCTGCACAAGGGACTTGGCAAGTGGGTTCCGAGCAAGAGCGTCGGCTAATTGAGGGAACACCTTGTGGAGAGTCTCGTACTCAAGCAGATAGGCAACGGGAATCAAAAGCACCGACCAGAATACAGTCAGGAAGCCAATGACCACAGTGATGAACCAGGATTGCATCATCCGCCTCGAGCGTGGGAGGTAGGTGTTTTTCCACACGACATCAGCTGGTGCTGGTGCCAGTCTAGCGAGCAGTTGCATGGGGTGAGGATCAAGTATGGCTTGTACAACCATCTGAGACGCGGCAATCGACTCCATCGTGACGAAGGCGACCTCAGTAGGCGGATATTCCTTTTGGCGAGCAACCTGGATCTTCTCGTCGAGACGACGTAGCTTTTCTTCATAGTAATCGATCGCATCGATATTCTTATAGCGTAGCTTGAAAGGCCCATACCAAATGCGCACTGTTGGCCGCTTGTGTGCATAGTCCGTAACATGATCGCGTCCTCCTTCAGAGAGAAGTTGAATCCGTTCACTCTCTCCATCCGAAACAATACTAGAGCCACGCGGCTGCTGGTGCAGCAAGGTCAGCGCGTTTGGACTTGCCTTAACCCGTTTGTAGCCCAGATGTCTAGTCCAAGCCCGCTCGAGATTTCGCAGAAGTTTCAGTCGCTCGTCGATCAGGTGGTCTAATTCGCGCCAGTCCCGACACAGTGTGACACTCTCGACCTTACCCACTTTGAGGCCTTCCATGAATTCCTTGATCTTCTCCTCGGTCCCCAAATCCGGAGGTATCCCGGACAAGCGAATAGTCCGATCGGTCGTACTGGTCTGGCTCCCAAGGTATTTTTGCCTCGTGCGGATAACCTTATTGGTCTCTTGGATGAGCATGTAGACAGCAAGCCCAGTGAAAATGTATGTAAAAATGACATACATCCACAAGTAGTTCGGATCCGATATGATCTTCTTCTTGTCTTTGTCTCCATCGAATGTCTCGTCATCATCGTCATCCCAACCCGGAACCCCCGATTTACCGGTATTCTTGTAGTGTGTCGGTAGAATGATAACCAAGGCGAAGAAGAATATAGCGGAGAGGAATCGAATGGCGAATTTCAGGAAAGTGAGAAACTATGATAACAACTCCGTGTCAGACAAGACAGATTCTGACATCCAGCTCGTAGTCGGGGCGAAAGACAGAACTTACAACGAAAGCATCCAAGCCTGCAGACTCCAGCACCTGCTCATCAGTGATCCGATATAGTACAGGTATCCAGCCAAAGAAACTATCGGGTAGTTCGGGCAAGTATGAAGCTGCGCAGCGTTGTCGTCGCCGAGCGGCGTATAATTCGGTCCATTTCGGTCGTAGAACCTATAGGAGACGCGAGCTGTTAGAGGAATTCCATTTATTCTTGCGTTCCGCAAAGACTTACACAGAAGGAGAAAAAGGCGCTGAGCCCGACGAGTAAACTGATCACTAGTTGTGTGTACAAATCGCGGCCCCTCGTCTGGTCATCCCAACGAGGCTCATGCACATCAATGGGACTGTCTACCACGACCGCGGCGGTCAGCATGGCTGCCGCGGCGGATTCCGTGAGAGACATGGCGTTCCAAAAGCAGATGTTCTGCGCCGGGGATGTAGTGGATGATGTTCAGCTTAATGCATTCGGAAACGTTTGTGCTCGGGAAGATGCGTAGGTCAAAAACAACTGACGTCAGGGGCCTGGGTCACGCTTTTAGATTGTAGACGGACTCGCAACCTGGAGGATGTTGCTTGGACGCGAAAAACAGAACTGGAGAAGTCAGGCGACACCGATACAAAACACTCTACACCGCAATCTTCGCGCTAGGAACGGCAAATTGGACCCGAGTCGGGCATCGTTTGCTAAAACATATGTTGACGAACCCAAACTCAAAAGTACTAGTCTCGTCTCGTTCTAGTTGACGATGAGTTGTGCACGTGGCTTATTCAGCGACCGTTTTTTATGCCGCTTGCCGCTTGCGGCAACTACAGACGGCCCGGCGTCATACGATTCAAGGATCAGGCCAGCACAATAAGATCTTTCTATTCTCTAAAGTTCGACAAACATGTACTCCGAGCTCATGATTAGGTTGACCAGTGCCAGATGGAAATGATATGGACAATACATTATCTAGTTCTGTGAATGCCGTGATGCATCATAATACAAGTCAAGCAGACATCCAGCTGACCATGCTTGGGTCGGAGACTATAAAAATATAAGGTTAGCCAAGATTGATCGGCACGACAGAGAATTGAATAGAGGGCAAAGAAATGTATTCAAGACATACGGAGTCTGCACAGTGTGCGCCATTCTTATTCGTTAGTTCGGTAAGGCCCTTCCATGGACTTTCCCTCAAAGCCCGTTTGCAACCCTCCAGGCGTCGAGTAATCTGTTGGTAAGTCTCTGTCCGTTCTGCCGGCGTCGTCCTGCGAGCAAGGTCGAAGTGCAAAAAGGCGCGGAGGAAGTACCCGCGCTGCCAAACCCACTCAGGACCTTGGTGGTAATTTCTGCCTTTGGCAGTTGCAAAGTCGGTTGAGTCCTCCGAGTTATTGTAGTTAGGGCGGTAATTGAGATCGGAAGGGTCAAGGGTTGCCATTCCTACCGGCCCTACCAGAACCTCGTCGGCAAGAGCGAGAGCTGCGAGTGCTTTGGATGGAGTGAACAGGTCTGGAGCGACGGTCATGGCTATAGGGAAATTGGAACGAAGCTGATAATCCTCGTATGGCTTACCAGACCTGTACAGATCCTTGTAAATTCCCCGTCTATTAATGATGTTTGCGTCAATGTCGTACTGGCCATCGTCCTTTGGCTGTAGAGGAACATAGTAACAGCGCTCGAAGTTGGCCCGAACTCTTGACGCCCACTCCTTGAAAGAGATGGATTCCCCATCGCCAATGTCGACTCCATCATGTTTGTAAAGGCCTTGCTCGTGCAGTTCAGCAACCCAGGTCAAGGCGCTGTACATCAGCCCGGTTATCTCAATGGCTGCCCCGTCACGTGGCGTACCAGGTACGCCTTTATTACCAGCTTTCGCGCTCTCACCCATCTTGTCCTGCCATGTCCCGCAATTGTATTGACTGCCACCGAATATCAGTCCTGTTTCCCAGTCGACTTTGACATCAATCTGAAAACCAGCCTGTGTCATTTGCATGTCAAGGTCAGGTCCCGCGTTGTATTCCCGGAAGGAGAGTCCTTGTGCATGTCGCTGGAAGACCTCCTGAATTATTTCGGAAATAGTCGAATTTTGCGAGTAGGCCCTAGGGTCATCATACGGGAACCATACATCATCGTATGGTAGGAAACGCCTGGGAACCTTATGATCTAGAAGCCTCAAACCATCTGGTGCCATTTTAGTGTAATCCTGGATGGATTGCAGGAAGAACCAAACAGAATCCCGAGAATTGTAGCGCGGGAGCTTCCCACTGCTCAAAAGATTCGGGATCATGCCATGCTTCAATACGCTCGCAAACGCAGTTATATGCTCTTTGGCATCCTCAAAGCGACTTGTGCACAGAAGGAGGCCTCTGAGTGAAATGAACACGTCGCGACCCCAACACCTTGCCCAGTCTACCGCGAAATGTGGTAGACCAGCTGCAAGACTGGGTACCTTCTTCGTGGGCCACAAAGACGCTGAATTCACATATCCAGTTTGTTGGACACTCACCATACCTAACTGATGAATGAACTCTTGCCCTTTCTGTATGTGCGGTCCCAGAAGTTGAATTCCTCGCTTCCAGGCAGCATTGTAGGCAACCTGAACGATTATTGCAAAGTACCGGGGTAAAAGGAAACTTGGCAGCTGACGGACGGCTTGAAACTTTTCCCGAAGCCATGCAGCTGGCCTGCCAAGGGCAGTGTGTTCGTCCGTCTGGCCCAGCTTTTCCAGGCGAGCCACAATATAGTCCAAAGCCCACTGTCCATTTCGCAGGTGATCACACAGTGGGTGGCCGAGTTCGTTGTATTTGATGATGTTCTCAAGGACGCTCCACCACCCCTGTAGACCGGCATAGACCAAAGGCCCATGGCCGGGGATGTCGTAGACCCCGTCCTGGCCCTTACTCGAGTCTCTCTCCTCTGCTTCGCAGCGGTAAAGCGCGAAGTTCAGATCAACTAAGCTGAGATCTGAGAATGCATGATCCACGCCTTCGGTGATATAATTGTCCAGTCCACTTGCATGTTCAACACTCGGCATGGATGTTTCAAACAAGGCAATAGACCCGGCAACAAAAGAATCCAAAACAGATATGATGGTATCTTTGCCAGACTCCTCGATCTTGGTACCTTCAAACGTTTTAACTTGGCTCGGCAGGCCTCGTAGATAGGATTTGTCTGCTTGTATCCGCTCCTTAGTAGTTTGGCTTGCATCAACTTCTAAGAGCCACGTCCCGATATGCTTGACATGAGTACCGACAAGATGTGTGGGCGCCAGAACCGAATTTCCGTCTTGATCAGGAAAGGCTGTATGTGCAATCAAAAAAACACCCTTCCGTGTTCTAGGATGCACCCTGTGCACTGTGATATACTCGCCGTCATGATGGATGTGCGTTTCATCGTACCCTTCAACACCCATTCTAGTATGAAGGTCATTGAGTAGTTTTTTGATGCCTCCTATTCCCCCCTCAAGAGAGTTTAACCCAGTCTCGGGGGCTTCTGAAAATTCAGAAAAGTATAGCCGATGTTCATGAACGAGATCGACAAGCCGGGGATATACTTCATCGTAGCCGATGACGCTGCCAATGGCTGAGGCACACATGGCCACCAGAGCGCCATTTGGTAAAGTATCTTTTGCGGTTCTCTTCTGCGCAGGCATCTCGTTGTCATGGGTGCAATCCATGAATAAGGCCTGAACTGGTGTAGGTCGGATATGAGCAACTTTCTCTTTGCCGGAGTCAAGACCAGAAGAAGCAATCGCATGACTACTACCTGAAGAAGGCAAGTCAAGATCGAAACTACCAATCGGACGTCCGCCATGACGGTGAACAAGACGGCTCAATTCCCCTGTACTCCAGGCCTGCATGGCTTCACGGATGAGCGCATTTATGCCGAGACGTTTGACAAATATATAGTCAGCTTCCTCCGAGCCAGTGAATAGTTCCGCGAAAACGGTTAGATTGGGTCGAACTTTGCGTGCCTCATCTAGCAGGTACTCGGCAACCACCAATGGTGTCGAATGGCAATTGTCAATGCGAAATCCTGAGAAATATTTGGCCATAAGACGAGTGTAGTCTGTCATGAAATCCCAGAGGAAAGGATTGTCGTCACGACAACTGCCATATCTCAGCTTCACGCAATCGCCCCAGACGATTACTTCACGTCGCAGATAAGCCCTAGAGTCGGGCCCCGCATTGTCCCTCAGAGCATCAGCGTTCCATATCCAGCCGTTATTCACCAGAGCCAGCGCCCCTTTCTTGTGCTTCTTGGTAACATCGTTCAGAGGCAGCCTCGTGAAGTACGTTTCAATTAAAGGGCTTTGTGCCGTGACGGCGCCGAGCTTGGGACCATGGTCGTCAATCCTGAGATACTTTATCCGATTGAAGACTTGATTCATAATCTCCGAGACGTCTCCATCGTACTCCTCATAGAATGGAAGATTGACCTCGTCAAGTATCCTGGACAGACTCTCCTCGACTGTATTAGTGTCAGATGTCGGAGGATCGTGCGGACCAAAAAGGGCTGTCAGTATAGCTGCCCCAAATTGCAAATCAACAGCTCTGCTGAACCGCCCCAAGACCTGCTTCGAGGTGGGTATAGCGTGTTCTCGAATGAAAGTTGCTTGTTGTTTCAAAGTCCAGTTCTTGTAGTCTGAAAGGTTGAGTTGCGCCCATTTCTTGTCAGTTAGATCAAGGTCTTTGGATGTTTTCCATTGATCAAGTATTCTCTGTGTGTCAGCCTTCACATCAATGGCATAGAACTCCCATAGTCGTATTCCAGAAATGACTTTGTCCCGCATAGCATTCATGACTTTCATCAATTCGTCCACAGTTTGAAACTCGGTGGGCAGCCCAAGAGTGGAGAGTTCTTGGCCGAATTTCAGCAGTGCAGTGTCCAGCTCCAGAGCTGCCTCAAGCCATGGGGCGGTTTCGACACTGTAACCCGCTTCTGGATGTTCCTCCAGCCATTTGCTGTTATGGGCAGTGTGGTTCCATACAACGTCCGTAAGCGACAAAAGCCCATATTCATCCTCCATCTTAGAAACAAGACGCGCAACATCGTCTTCACCATTGGGGAACACGGCGTCATCAAATTGCAGCTGATCAAAGATGCTATAAGGTGAGTTCGAAGCTCCGCGCTTCATCAGGGGCGTGAAATGAACCATATTGTAATTACGTTGGCTAATGCCGTTGAGGTGCTTCTCCCAGTCCTTGGGATACTGTCCCATAAACTTTGAAATCACAGAGTATATAGAAAGAGCATTGAGTGGAAGATCTTGACCGCGAAGAGTCAACTTGGGTGAGACATCGATATAGTGGGTTGGAGTCCTCGTTGGCTCTGGGGTGGGTGTTGATAGGACGGAGAACTCAGGAAGCGGGGAGAAGGTCACATAGAAGGCGAAGGAACCCGCAGAGGTGATGGGGACATCAATCTGAATGTTCTTGTTGAAATCCGGGGATAGGCTAGATTTATGGAAAATGTCAAAGGTTGATAAACTTGTAACCATTCATTTATCTTACCTAAAGCTCCGAAAAGCAGACCGATCGAAAGATTCACCCTTCTCGGGGATGTTGACCCATAAAGCACCCTCTCTACAGATTGAGCTGCTGCCTTCAATGACAAAGCGAAGCAAATATGGCGGGTCCGTGGGAGAAGGGAGGTAGAGGTATCCTCCAGGAACATCGGGCGACCCATCATCCTTCAGAGGCAGCAGATAAACCTGCTGTGGAGAGGACATTGTGAATTCGAATAATACTATCTGTCACAAGTAGAGGAGCTTCGGAAAGAGCTTCGACGAGAGTTGGTGACAATGGTGAGTCTAGCGGCGCTACTCTTGGTGAATTGCCGGCCAGACTAACCCAGGAACGGAGAAAAATGGATATGAAGGCAGGATGTCCTCCTGAAAACGAAGCCGTGTAGCCACGGCACAGAGGTCGCTGGCTATTTATGAGGAAAAGAACAACTGGACGAGAAGCAAGGCCGACCAAGGTTTCCTGTTCCTGGGAGGTCCAGGGCAACCCCGCGGGATCACTGACATCATGAAAGAAGGCGGGCTGGAACGGCCCGGGCGAGAACACGGGCCTCCGCACGCCTCCTCTTTTTTCTTGTTGGCCTCCCCTCATAGCCCCGGTCAGGCCATTGATGATCTGGCAACTGTACAGCCCATTACTGGCGTGGATGTGATAGAAAATGAAGAAGATTCAGACATTCCGGTGTCATTGCGGTCTATAGTCATCGGTCTATGTGCATGAGAAAATCTCGACAAAGTATACCTACCAACAAACGCTTCCCCCAAAAGATAGATAGTGATAAAGATAGACAAGTTGGTGGAAAGAAAGGAAGGAAAGTGACAAGGATTGGGGGGGAAAACACAAGAGGGGGTAATGCATGGATCCTGCCCCCGTTCACAACCTGGCGCTCAAAACTGCCTGGCTGGTTCCACTGCTGGTCACCCGCCCCGTTTCAACGTAAGAGATAGACTCCGGCTTTCTGTTAAGACACAAAAGGAACAGATTTCCCTAAATTAACAACCCGAACAAAAACCAAAGGAGAGGATCAACAGGTCCAATTTACCGCTCAATGTAAGAAGGAATATCTTCAACGGACATACTGCCCTCGAGAACACCTATTTCATGGTCAGTATATCGAAGACAAAAACCATAATAAAGAGCAAAAGAACGGGGTTACTCACGGTACACAGCCGTAAGCAAGGGAAACTCCTCCTCAAGGCCTTGCTTCTTCAGGAAGTTGTTTACCTCAACCGCAGTCAAAGTACCCTGGAGCTTCTGGCCGTTGAGTTCCGTCTCCTCGACTTTTTCGATCGACTGCTTTCTCTCAATGCTGAGTTTTGCGCAGCGGAAGTTCCGGCCACCGCTGCAGCTAGTAATCAGATCGGCAACACCTGCACTCTCCTCGGTGAAGGTTCGAGTATTGATGGTGGCCCCGAAGAATTTTTCGCCAAACTTGACCATCTCGAGAAGGCCAACCCGCATGATGGCAGCCTTGGCATTGTCACCCCAGCCCATGCCGTCGACCCAGCCGGCAGCAAGAGCAACTACGTTCTTAAGGGCGCCTCCAAGCGACACGCCCGCGACATCACTCACCACACGGATATGGAAATACGGGCGATGGAAGAGCGACTTCAGGACCGCGTGGTCCACTGGAGGGTAGTCGGACGGCAGCGCTTGCAGCTTTACTTGCGAGAGTTGGCCGGAAACATCCTTGTGCTCAAATTGAACGAGATTCTCGGTCGAAGTAGACGGGGAACGATTGGGAGATGGCGCCTTGGAATCCATGTGCGGGGGATCATAGGCGATGCTTGACTCGGACCATTTTTCCAGTGCGACCTCGCTCGCGATGTTTGCGCCAGATAGAGCACCGCAGTAGATACCCAGGATCTTGCCAATGGTCTCCGAGAAGAGATGGATACCTTCTTCGTTCACATCAACACCCTTGATGCAGGAGATACCCCGCGCATAGGGCAGGATCTTGCCCTTGATCTGCTCACAAGTCTTGATGATAAACTGATGGGGCAGGTTGAAGACAAGGATGGTACTGTCCTTGACTGCGTCAACCAACGAGGGATTAGCATGCAAGTTGGAGGGGAGAGTAATTCCCGGCAGGTATTTGATGTTCTCGTGCTTTTCGTTAATCACATCCGTCAAGTTTTGTGGGCCCTGGCACAGCGGTGAAGAGGGATCATAGTGCCGGGACGTTTTGGAAATTTCCACCTTCTCCTCAAAAACCCACATCTCAACCTTCTCCTCGAAAATTGCGGGGTTGCTGGCGGCATTTTCGGCGACGATTTTGGCGATTGCGCATCCCCTAGACATGACCCAAGTCAGCCCTTTTCCTCTTTCCTGGCACTAGCAGCATGACGAAAAGCCATCTCGCACATACCAGTTTCCTGAGCCCACCACCGTGATCTTGTGTTTGCGCTGGTACGGTCCGAGAGAACCCATTGTTGCTTCGGTATTGGCGGGGATGATCGACGAATGGAAAGGGCTATGCGAGTAATAGCGGACTGCGACGGGCCCTCGAGGCTTATATGCTGTGGAAGGTGATAGACACGGCGAAATTTCCCGACTCAATGGGGTAGGCAGGAGGTGATAGACGGTCGGGGGCCGAGGTAGAGTCACAGGCACAGTAGTCCTCGATAAAAAAGGGCACGTCCGGCGAGATAAAAGGCGCGCTGGAGACAGCATCCACATGCAAGGCCGCAAATGAGAAGGTAATCTTATCGAACCGGCGTCGGCGTGGTGGTGCCCTGATGTAAGTGAGCCACTGAGCCAGGCAAGTGCAAGATAAAAAGGCGGGTTCGGAACCCGTGAATGTGGATCTTTGTCTCCGGCAAGAAAACTGGACCAGGAGCAGGGGGAAAGATTCTGATGGAAATATGACGATCCAGTTTCTCTGGCCTTGGACTACGGTCGGCCTGTTCAGGTCTAGTGCCTTGCTACTAAATTGTTGGTCCCACTGTTGGGAATTCTTGTCAGCCTTAATGTAGCACAGGATGGAACCCGAATGGCTGGCGCAAGACAAAGCGCGAGTGATCTTTGACTGAAGACGGCTATCAGGGACCGCGAACTAGACCGGGAAGGGGGTGGGATTTATTTGCCTCAGGTTCAAGGGTTCAATAATTAGACTCGGCCAAGTCGGTGAGGCCCAGTACTATCAGATAAGTCACCTGGGCGGTGAGCCACACATATTCCAAGGTAGAGACCGAACTCACTATCGGGTCTTCGGTTGGGGACTAGTGCACTTCCGGATTAGTCCGCGCTACCCCATCGGACTCAACGAAGAATTCGGTTCTCGTGAAGCACATGCAAGGCTTTTTTCGTCTTGTTCCCCGAACGGAGAAACAACGCATCCCTCCCCATCATGGTAAGCTTTCCTCTAGTTGATATCATGCATGCACGTATACTTACCAATGCTCTTTCTTAACCAATACAGGCTCCTACTCGATCCGTCAAGAAGCCCGCAAGTGGGAAAGGCGTTCTTCCGTCGTCTAAGCCCAGCTTTCTCCACGATGAATTCCGCACCACGAAAAAGGACAAGCGCTTGATCAAGCACAGCAGCTTTGTGTCTCGGATAGAAAAGAACTCTCAGAAATCTACGAAGCGCCGGCGTGCCTCCAAGAAACTTGCTGCTTTGGACTCGTTGGCCGATGCGCTTCCGGACGCCGACGACGACGTGGCCGACCCTAGCAAACAGGTCAATATCATCAAGCAGAAAACTCTGCAGCATAGACCAGGTGCTATGAAGCGTCGGGAGAAGCTGGAACGGCTGGAGCGCGATCGGTTTGCGAAGAATATGGCGCAGATGTCCAGCATGCAAGCACCAGCGCCAACCACTACCGACTCCAACAGCAACACAGATGAGGGCTCGGTCTCCAATAGATGGGCGGCCCTGCGGAACTTCATATCTCAAACCATGGAGCAGCAGCCTGCCTTCAAATCAAGCAGCTAGGTTATCGAAATATTGGAATATGGATTGTTTCGAGCGCAACTCGCTCATCCTTCTTTCAATCTGGGTGGCAGTTGACACAAGTTGCAGCCGGTTGCTGCAACAGACCGCTTTCCAGTACAATCTGTGGCAGAGTCAAAATGCCACTGGTTCCCCCTCAGTTGACGCTCCGTGCTACCACGTACGAGGCACCGGAGGATTATCGCTTTCCCGTGTTGACAGGGCGCCCCAGGCGATTGAACCAGTCTAGACGCCTCAATTGGAAGAATGGCAGCCGTGACTACAAACTTCTAGTGTCATGGAAAGTACGGAACCGTTCAGTTGGCCTAAGCTAAATGTACGATACGACCTTGACACATTTGTCAAATGGACGAAGCTTACAGGAATATAAGTAAGCATATTCAAGGCCATTGGGTCAAGAGGAAGGTTCGGTACAATTAGTAGCTCAATGCCTCCTGGCAGACTTGCGTCTTTTCAAATGAAACAATGGAATATGGGGAAGTATAGAGGATTTCTTCCCAACTTATGCCAAACAGATCTATACTATACTATCGAGAATCTCACATGTAGCACTTATTCGGGTCATTAATCAAGACCACATGCCTTACTGGACTAGAATGGCACAGATCCACATTAGCCAAGTCGGTGCCTGGGACTTGCGGGAGCGACGATCGGGACCGCCACCGCTCGTCGCACTTGGAGCTCGCGGATGACGAAACACGAGTCCTCATCCGCCCCGAGTTTCACAACCTCAGAAACACAAAGCACGAAGCTCAACACGTCTTCCAGAGTTCTTCCACTGACAAATCCATCTGCGTCCAAACCTTACTTGATCGTGTCAGACAAGCCCATCTCAACCACGTCATCTGCGGATACCGTCGGCGATAAGCATCACGTGCTGCGGGGAAAGCTATCGCCCGATTTAGTTTGATTTGATTGTATTGCATCTTATCTGCTGCCATCGGAGGTGACGGTCCTCGACTGCCCTCAGCCTTCCTTCTCCCTCTCTCCCTTACACACAAGCTTCTTCTTCGATCCTTCCCATATCTTCACATTAGCACTCTCCTCCTGCAGAGATCACTGCGCTTGGCCATGCTACGGTTGCCTATACAGGCCCGTGGCCTCCTCAGGGCGCACCGCAACTCTCCCTTCCGCTATCGGCATGCGCCGAAGCCGCTTATCCGCCCTGTTCGCCGTGGATTCACCAACTCATCAGCCACTTTCCCTACCTGGTCACAATTCGATCGCTCAGATTTCACAAACCAGCCGTGGACTGGCAGTTATGAACCGGATCTTCCAACAACAGGGCCACTTGCGTCAGCTCCGGCTTTCGGAGCCCCTCGGGTGACCCCCAGAACGTTGAAGCAGTACCTAGACCAGTTCGTCGTTGGCCAGGACCGTGCAAAGAAGATACTTAGTGTCGCGGTTTTCAACCACTATCAACGGGTACAAGAGCTGCAGAGACGCGAGGAGGAAAACGCGGAGTTGCTAGCGAAACGTGCGCGCAGAGAGGCGATTGAGCATCACCCGGTCGAAGGTAGGTTTTCCGCATTCCATTGCCTGTCATAACACCTGAGCCAAGCTAAGCTAGTCAGACGAATTCCCAGGCCAGCAACAAACCGTCAATACAGCCCCCGAAGCAGGTACATTGCCTACGTCCGCGCAGCCTGGACTCGACGATTCGTCGGAGTTACAACTGGAGAAATCCAACATCCTTCTACTGGGACCATCCGGCGTTGGAAAGACGCTTATGGCAAAGACACTGGCGAGGATACTATCCGTCCCATTCAGCATTTCGGACTGCACACCGTTTACGCAGGCAGGTTACATCGGAGAAGATGCAGAAGTATGCGTACACAGGCTTCTGGCCGCTGCGAACTATGATGTTGAACAAGCGGAGCGCGGCATAATCGTCCTGGACGAAGTGGACAAAATTGCCGCAGCAAAGGTCAGCCACGGGAAGGACGTCAGTGGTGAAGGAGTACAACAAGCCCTCCTCAAGCTCATCGAGGGCACAACGGTACAAGTGCAAGCGAAACAAGAACGAAGTGCACCTCGTGTCGGCAACTCCCCCAACACCTTTCCCTCCAACAACCCGCTAGGGAACTCTCCATTCAACCCCAATGGCGGAAACATGCCCCAGAAGGGCGAGGTCTACAACGTCCGCACAGACAACATCCTCTTCATCTTTTCCGGCGCCTTCGTCGGGCTACACAAGGTAATCATGGACCGGATAGCTCGCGGATCAATCGGCTTCGGTCAACCCGTCCGCGGCTCAGCCCTCACAAACAATCGATCTCGCGACCACGCACCGGGCAACAACGAACCAATCCCCATCCTTCCGGGATCCGAAGAAGAAGCCCTATACAAAAAGCACCTCCCCTTCTTCGCCTCGGCCACCTCTCCCAACTCCCCCGACAGCGAACCAACCTACTTCAACGCCCTCGACCTCCTCAACCCCACCGACCTCCAAAATTACGGCTTCATCCCCGAACTAGTCGGCCGCGTTCCCGTCACCGCCGCCCTCTCCACCCTGACCACCCCTCTGCTCGTGCGCATCCTCACCGAACCCCGCAACTCCCTCCTAGCCCAATACACCACCCTCTTCAGCCTCTCCGGCATCGAGCTCCGCTTCACCACTCCGGCCTTGCACAAGATTGCCGCCAACGCCTTCACAATGGGCACAGGCGCGCGCGCCCTCCGCACCGAACTAGAGACCATCCTCAGCGACGCAATGTTCGAAACCCCCGGTTCGAGCGTCAAATTCGTCCTGGTCACCGAATCCGTCGCGGAGCGGAACGAAAAACCTATCTATCTTGCGCGCGGTCAGGGCGGACGCTTCCACTCCATGATCGCCGCCGAGGAAAGTAAGTGGGAGGAGAAGGTTCGGAGAGAGAAAGCGGAGAAGGGTAAAGATAAGAAAGCGAAGACGCTGCCGGCGGATGAACTTCCCCCGATTTCGAGTTTCAGGGAGTACCGTACGCAGACGGCTGGGTTTTAGGTGTCGTTCACTTGGATTGGATGTTGGTCAAGACATTGTACATAGGAACGGGAGAGAGAGCATGAGGCATGAGCAGTTGATCCTGTTGTTTTGACCCTCACTCGGCGATTACTAGTCGGATGGAGTATTCATATAAGCCAGTTGTTTTGGGCGTTTTATATCAGTGTTGATACCTTCTATTGCGTATTATGTAGTTATTGCTGCTGCTGCTAGTACTTATCGGCCTGTCTAGTATTTATATGTTTCATTCTCTATTGTTGATCTTCTGTATGAAATATTAGTTGGAGTAATGGCTCAAATACCGGGTTCAATTCATTATCAGGACAGTCTTCTTTCCGTTCTTCCTTTTACAATAAGAAACGGTTACTACACAAATTATCAATCGACGAGTGGCACACCACCTCCCTCAAACATAACAACGAACTCACGCCCACTGGGTATAGGAAACAGAGAAAACAACAAAATAAGAAAGGGAATTGGAAAGTGAAATATCTAATAGGGAACTTTTTTTATGAGAAGAAGTCAGTTCACCGCCGCTCATTACACACAATTTTTCTTTTTGCGATCTCATCTCACGAAAGCTCATCTGTATGGATTCGGATAAGAAGGTACTCCGCCAGATGCCCGACCATAGTAGCTAGCTCCATCCATATCCCTGACTATTGACATGGATGAAGTCCGAGACTTTGGCGTTCGAGGCGTGAAGGACTCCGGTGGAGCTCGTGTTTCAGACGGTGTACCTGGTCTAGAAGAAGTAAGAGGAGCAGAAGAGGTTGCTGAAGACGAGGAAGGAGCAGCAATGACTTTTGACCAGTAATATCTATAGCTGATTCCGAGGGTTTTCATGAACTCCCTCGAGCCACATTTAATGTCGATGTGTTGCCATTCTTTCCATCGGTCCAGGGGTGTTGTTTGCGTAAGGACGACCAAACGTCGGTATCGGTGGCGATGGACCAGGCCCCAGCCGGCAAAGAATTCAATAAGGTGATCTGCATTGCGCTGGTCTTGGGTTAGGCCTTTGGGGATGTCTGGATTATCTGCTTCAGTGCGGGTGCCATAATTCGGAAGGCTGGGAGGGGATATGGCGTTGCTTTCGAGGTAGTCGTCATGGGATCCGGATGATAACTCGGCAATGGGAGTGTCGTTTGCGGGAACGCCGCAACACTCTAAGACTAAACGGTACATTGTAGGCCATCTGAAGATGGAGTTTTCGGTTAGAGATATTAGAATTTCGGTTGGGTCTGAAGGGTCATAACGTACACTCCTCGTGCTGATTCGTCTGCACTTTCTGATTGTTGCAAGATCCAGTCCAGGATAGCGGGCCGGAACATGATCTTCCAATATCCTGGGTACTTCTTCTTGATGAAGTCAGTAAACCACGCCAGTATCGCCATGGTTGCTTTCGGATCCTGGAGCATTATGTCTTCCGTCACCAATATAGCCCCGCCATGTGGGAAAATGCGCTGGAAGTGGGAGTGGTGACCGGCATATTGGAGGGGTTTGGCCAGAGAGACGCTCCAGAAGTTGATCGGCTTGTTAACGAGGTTTTGGAAGAAAGACAACTTGTTGAAGTCGACCCAGCTCTCGTGAACCTGCTTGAATGTTGGCCTTAAGTGCATTTCGACCTCGGCTGGAAGTAGAACATACCAGAACCACCCCTACTTGGACAGCTCGTGCAAATTTCTCCCAGTCATCCTTCTGCTGCCATGTATATATAACAGGGTTATGTTTCTTTAGAAAAGCATGGAGAATTACAAGTTCACTCTGAAGGAACTCGGACTCGAACAAAAGAAAGAATGCTTCTGCTCTCTGCACCTTTCCTGTGGAGTTCACTGTCACTAGAGTCTCATAAGATATTCCAAATTCTGTTTCGAAAATAGTTCCCAGATCGGCCGTAGGTGCGGGGGTTGCTGGGTCCTGTTCGCCTGGCGCTGAAGTAGAACTATGTTGTTCATGAATCTTCATGGGTTCGTTTTGTTCATCATCTATTTCCATGGGTTCGTCTTGCACTTGACTGGTAGACTCGTTCGTTTCGGCCGAAGCTGGCTCCAGAGGCTTCTGTGAAGAGTCTGGCTTCGCTGGACTGGACAGCTCCCCAGACTGTAGCTTCAATGGCTCTTGTGGATTGTCTGGCTTCACGGGTATTCCAATCCTGCCCAATTGCCGTTCTGATGAATCGACCCCTCGTGGCTTTGGTGATGAATCCGACCTAGTCTCAATAGTGACTTCTTTGGATTGCCTTTCTGTTGATGTGTTTCCTTGCTCAATTGATGAAATTGACATTGGGGCGTCGGCGACGTCTTCTATGCCGTCACATCCACTCCGAGGTAATTCATAATCCGGAGAATCCCTCACGACGAGTTCTTGGCGGCGAGTATCTGTCCACCGGTCGTCGGCTCTTGCCCTAGATGGCAGTCGCTCAATAAATTCAAGAGAGTCCAACGGATCTCTCACAACAAGGTTAAGAAAGGTATCCGGCTCCTTCCTGAAGTAGCCGTCG